ATGTCTTCCTAAACATTGAACATGTTGGCCAAAAACATTAGTTTAATATATGGCATAACAATGCATTACTGAATTAAAAACAAACAGGTGTTTTCTCAGTTTCATAGACTGTCATTACTGTTTGGCAACAGAGGTACTCACTTCCCCCTCAGGAATTATTCCAACCGTATCTTCTCTGTGTGATAATCACAATCTCCATTTACCTCGATGAGGTTACAGCACAGACACTGTACCTTCATCTTATCTCACAGCTGTGCATTGCATGTGTGTGTGTGTTGTGTGTGGGGGCCACATTTTCCTCAGCAAGTCACTGTTTACATGACCAAAACAAATATAGTAGTCATTTTGCTACAAAGCACTCCTTCAGTCTCTCGGTTTCAGGTCCGCAGTCAGGATCCAGGCACATGGTTGCCATTTACATACTAAACATAGCAAGGTTGGTAAAATAGCATGGAATTTTTACTTGAGCCCTTGAGACAAAGCAGCTGAGCATTTATAAGCACCATATAGCCATGTAATACATGCTTTATAACATGTTGTTGTCTATTTGTAAACTGCAAGGGATAGTTGACATCATTTCAAGGGTTGATTTTAAAGCTTAAAAACAAAACATGATGTAGGAATTGTGAAAAAAATATCAATGTTTATTTTAAATCTGCATGATTTAAAAATGCATTATAATGTGCAGAAAGGTAAATGTTTATATATACTAGTTCATCTGCTTAAATATGACACGTTGTAAAAGCGCAGACATTGACAAAGAGCACAAACAACAACACGTTAAACTCTTGCAAACACTGTTGCCCACATTTATCACCTCACACACTTGATGGGGGGAGAAACTGACAGTGAGGAAAGCCCTCGATGATGATTGGCTACCAAGGCATGGGACAGCATATAGACCCTGATAAATGTGAAGTTTCATGGTCTCCCCTGACAAATCATCAAATGGCCAGGAACCTTTTGCAGACACACTCTATTGCTCCCACCCACACTAAATTTACAGAAGTCAAAAGTTCCTTTTTCATTTTACAGTTAAACAGTGGGCCTTGTTTATTTAATTTTATCTGATGCAGTTGAAAGGCCTGTTTGAGCAGTTAGTGTTATAAGCTTGTGCTATACAATAAGAGAGGGAGACATTTTTTGGTTTTCGTTGACTGAGAGGAAATTTTGAAACATTGTGCAATGGTGCCGCAAAAGTTTTGAAAGGTTGAGAGAGCATTTTACCAGCAAAGCATCTGAGAGTCGGTCCTGGATAAGAGGTATCCATGTTCCATCCATACAGAATGGAGAGCTATCTCATTCAGCCTGTAAGTATAATTTCTTTTATTACAAATATCTAAACTCTGAGGAGACTTTCTAGCTTTTGAAACTTAAACAGAGCTGACAGACTAGTTCTTTTTTACCGCAGGACTAAACAGAGAAACGCTCTTAAGAATGGATGACATACATTTTTTTTAAAAAAATTAGATGAATTAATGTGGTTTCTACTACAATTTGAATACAGGGCTTACAAACTCTAAGAGTGTATTATACGATGAGGTACATGAAATTGAAACTCAAAAGTTCTGAGAGTTTCAGAACTGTAGGACAAAGAAGAGAAAAGAAATCGTCATTATTCTAACATGACGATTTCATAACACTTGAAGCTAATTTAAATGTGTATACATTTACAGGCGACTTAAACGGGTGTTTAAAATCTTACAAATAATTTACAAATCCATTGGATAAAATTCAGATAAGGAATATATTTTCTGCATAGTCCACATACACCATTGACTTAAAGCTTTTCATTCATGATATATACATTTTGTTGTTGTTGCTTTTGTTGTTCCAGCAGCACACAGATGACATTTACGACCCTGAGATCTACAGACATCAAATTCCAGAATATTCATATCCATATGTCCTAGATCCAGAAAGCCAGGCAGGTGAGTTTTACTTCAGCGTTGATTTTTTCTAATCCTTTTACTGTTTAAAGAAATTAAATGTAAATTAATAATGAAAAAAAGTTAGGACTGTGAAAATCCACTCGGTGATATTTAAATGTATATAATTTTAAAATAAAAAACAAAGCATGGAGATTGTATTTAAAAATACTGATGTCATTAACTAAACTGTATTTTTAAATATATAAAAAGATTGATATTAAACATAATTTAGTCATCCTTCAAAAAAAAATTTTGGCCATGGCTTAATGTGGTAACGCAGACTTTTCTGGTTTGTTGTACATAAAAAGACTGCAGTGTGTGCAGCTGGAGCACACTGGAACACAGGAAACAGATGCCATTTCTTTTTTGCCGCTATAACTACAGACATAGAACAACTTTCGCCCCATGGGGTTTTGTTAATATAAGAAAGGTGCTTTACTTTCTCTTGTAATCAACTGTTTTGAATGTTGCACTAAAACAAGTTGAAACTGGGCTGGCTGTTAAGGCATCACTTGTCATTTTGATGTGCTCTAACCTGGCGTCGAAAGATGTCAAATCTTTATCTACACCCAGAAATGTTTAAATTAATATATACCCATCAAGGTAATAGATATTAATTACTGTTGTAGTGCTAGAGTTGACGTGGGACATGCCTTTTTAACTATTTTTGTTTATTAGTGATAAGACTGCACTTTGCATTTAAAATGTTTGCATATTTGCAGTGTTAACACTTAAAAAAAACTTGTACTTTTCAAGCTAGCTTATCTATCTTTTGTTTTTGTTTTTTTCTAACTAAATAAGTTTTAAAAATAAAACAACTAGGGAAAATTTGTAAAAAAGAAAATTGCAAATTAAAGACAGTCAGTGGCTGTGGTAATAGTGCTAGTGTGGCAACAAACAGGAAAGAGCTTCATGCTGAATTCTCTTTTATTCTCGTCATTTCACACTGTTGATGCAAACTCAGGCACTTTCAGAAAGCCAGTTTTTGCCAAGTCCACTTGTTGTTTGTTTAATTTCTTTAAATATCTCCAAATATGGATTTTCACAGAAATACATAGTGGCTTTTATTATGTCTCCACTGTCATTTGTGCATTTGTACAGACATTTTTCCGAGTTTAGATTTGTCTAAAAATCAGTCTGATTGGGTTTAATTTCTTTCCATTTTTTGTAATTTCACATGTTACAAATTCTGTGGTAGCAAAATAGTTATTACTGTACAAAAAGAAGAGAAAAGGTTGTGGCCATTATGCTGTTTTTCACCATCTCTATTTAGAACACTGGGACTACCATGCTCACCCTCATGTGCACCCTGCAGAGTTTGAAAACCTCCAAGAGAGCAACTTCACAGAGCTCCAGAATGTGCAGGCTCTCCACCCATCTGGGCTCTTACGACATGACACTCTACGATACGAAGCTGAAAACCTGCTTGATCCAAATCTTGCGGCTCATTCCCATGTGTTACAGCAACCAGTAAGTCCTCAAACCCACAAAACACAAGCAGTCATTAGTAGTCAGAGGCTAAAACGACAGTGATGCTGACTACTAAAGGGAATAATTAAGTACAAATGAAACTGTTAAAAAGCTGCCAGCAAGCTTTAAACTGTTGGTCTGCAGTGTGCATACTTTAAACTAAGGCTTTCAGTGCATCATCATCAACTCCTCTAAATGAGTTATTTGAAATCAAACATTTACCCACCAGTGAGTATGATAACACATTAAACTATGATGTTATTTTTTTTTTATCTATTTAAAGCCACTGACATTTACACTATTTAACTGTGCAAGTATGAAGCATAACTATACTCTGCTCTCTGTGGTGGAGTGGAAAAAGCATTCACTAGAAACTGATATCTGTCAGCTGATTGACACATAAGCCGATTTTGCTACAGTGCACCATATATTTTTAGTTCTATGCAGACATCTTCAGAATCTACATATTTTGAGGCTGTTATTGAAATCACAGAGAAGATTTCGGGAGCTTGAGGCCCTTTAAGGTCCTGTTACAAAAATCAGGAAGTGAATCTTTTGAGTTACAAGAAACACTTTTATTTTAGTGCTTTTTTCTTCTTTCTTCCCAGTGTTAAAGGAAAAATTACTTTGAATAGGCTCTGTAGACTCAGCTAAACTCAAAGTCACATCTGCATGCTTCAAACCTCCAGTTATGAACCAGTGAACTAGAACAGAGATCTCTGGTTTTGGAAAACAGTACGTCTAACCGCTTCAGCGTCGTCAGTTTCAAACCCCATACTTTTGTTGACTACCTCAGTATGAACTTGTGTTATGCAAGCGTGTGCGTGTGTGCCTGTTTTCTTGTATATTCACATGTTTCAAAGGAGAAAAACCCCACAAAGATTCTACATACAATCTTCAGCACATGTGAGATCATGTGCATCACAATAAAAAGGACTTGCTTTGATGAAGATCACAGACTTTCCCCAAATCTTACCATGTATGTACCATGTATAGTGACATTTTTGGCTACACGCAAAGTTCATGTTCCCTATTTTAGGTGATGTTAAGTCCAGAGATGTCATAACAATAAACATTTCACTCAGTAGTGTGAAGACGTAAAGTCCTGAAACAAGCAGATACAGCTGACGTGTAGTGTAGATTTTTCATGTTCTAAAACATCTTTTGATTAACCTTAAACTTCACCAAAATACTCACCTCATAAAGAGCAACTTGTGCTTTTGCTGTTAGCAATCACACAAAAAAAAACCCTCACAGAGCATGTGTGCCTATAGGTCACATGACGGTTTTCACTTGTTAGCGAGTGAAATTTCCCTTTTAAAAAAACATCTGCCATTTTTTACGAGATGAAAATGTTTGTGTGCTTGGAAAAAAAAAGAGACAGAGTGAGATAAGGTGTTGATACAGAAATTTAAATGTAACAGGAAAGTACAATGTGAAAACCACTGTTCACACATGGAAATTCACATGTAGGTATCCGTACCAACCGTTGCCTCAAAAGATGCTATGAATACATTGACAGCTATTGCCTGTCACACGCACAGGAGCATCCACACATCACAGCTCATGCAGAGAGAAACTTTGTTTTACGCTTTCACTTGCAGTGAGAACATCTTAGTGGAAACCCACACTTCACTGTACGTGTTTGATAGAGAGTACAGTACAAAAGCACCCAACGACCATAGCGAATAGCTGTGCAATGAATTATACTTTTGCCAAGCTTATACATCGGCATTGTGAAGAGGACAATTCTACTGTTGCAGTGAAATGCTATACTGTTAAAAGTGTAATATGTTGTGGTCTTGCAGCACTACCCACTCAGGACCTCAGTTTTCATACTTAGCCATAGCTGTCGGATGGCTTTAGATTTCACGGGCGTTTCTGATAAAGTGATCACAGAGTGCATTTTAGAGTGGCACCATCATCTCTGTCTGCACTTTATATTGGTATCGTAGTTTAAAACTTTCCAAAAGTCTTTAGCTGTCAAACATGATGGCTTAAAAATGATATTATAACTAAACCCATGCACACATACATACATGAAATAGATAAATAGATGCATACATACTTAAATAAATAAAACGTGTGAAACTGTGTCTGAAAAAACAAGATAAGGGCTAAATACCATACTTGAAAAAATGTTACATTGCAAGGAAAATTTCTTTTCTCAATTAAAACGGCAGACCTCTTAGGAAATTAAGTACAGCTACAAATACAAATTAAAAGATGGATTACATCATTAAGTTCTGTAGCCCTTGGTAGTTGGATTGGGCCACTCTGAACATGGCAGTATCTAAATGTCACATTTAGTTACAGCGGAGTTTAGTTGAACTGCTTTACAAACTGCTCTTTATTGCATCAGCTTGTAGAAAGTACTGTACTGTATACTTTTTTTTTTTTACCAATAAATGCTAAGTGCAATTTTGCGTTCTTTAGCCATCTTTGGTGCTAATCATTGTTTAATATCATTCACAAGAAGAAGCTCTTTTCTATGAAATGATACATCATTATTTCATTATTATTATTGTTTCACTTCAACTCAGGGGAAACCTGGAGATGAAAATAATTTAATAGATAGTCTACAAGTTAAATCATTGCAAACATTTTATTTAAAACTAACTTTGATTGAACAGGTAACGTTCTTCCCTCGGACCTTGTATCCACCGCATATATCCCAGCGCAGCTCTGATGAAGAGGACCATGGGGCACGAAGTCCGCCACTGGAGGTGTCTGATGAGGAGTGCTTGAGAGATCGAGTTTCTTATATCCCAACAGGAGAGCTGGGTAAGGAACTAGATTTGCTGTACTCAGTCTGTGCCAGTTAGCATGGATACTTTAGGAAGCACCAACTGTTCTGCCCGTGTTCACATTCATAGTCTCACTCTTAAGATTCTCAGGTCGTTGTATATCTAGGAGTTCTACGTCAATACTCTTTCTTTAGGTTCTTGAGTCCTGGAAACTAAAGGAACTTTCTATAATATCTGATCTGTATAAACACCATGTGGACGTGGTCCAAGTTCCTCCATGAATGCGTTGACCAAGACAAGGGGCATGTTCATTTGTTGTGTTTTAGGTCATGCATGAATCAGAGGTGCTTCAAGAGTCTCTGTCTGACTTACGGATGAGTTTTCCTTTCTGTGCACTTGGGTAGTAGACATTTGTCAATAAGACATGTCAGCTTTGTGTTCTGCTGACAACTTAAATTGCGCTTTTAGGATCAGCTACACGTTGCACAACAACTGCTGGTCTTGCATCTTCTCCGGAAATTGGCCACAAAAAGACAGGGAGGCTTTTTTTCTGTTATGAATTATCATGAATTTGGTCTCCAAGAATGGAATTCAGTTCAACTCATTCACCCGTCCACCAATCCTGTCACAGCTGTCACTAGGCAAGAGGTGGGGTACTCTGAAAACAGGTCAATTCAGTTCCGTTCGGTTAATAGCAAAAGTTTCTGTCTCTCTACACTGGATTTTGGAAAACATGCAGTCTGTAGAGTGGGAAAGCTTGCTACCTCGCTGGCCTTCCAATGAGGTATCTACAGAGATCGGTCAGTCTTTGGGGCATTTTTTTCTGCTGTGACCAAGTTCTGTATAAAAGTGGTAGACAGCAGCATGTTTGTTGAATAGACATTTTTTCCAACACAGCAGGATTGACTCACACACCAGAGCCAGAGTCTCAGTGTCAGTGGACGTTCTGGATCATGTCCAACTCCTTTCACAGTTGACCATTGTTCTCTAGCTTAACCAAAAGTAGTGTGCACTTCCTCTTTTATATTATTTAGGATGTGACAGAACCTGAATAGTGTCTGGTGCCCAGTGTCAGTAGTACCTGTAGTCAAGTGGCTTATGCTTTATGCAGTGTTTTGTTTTGTTTTGGGGATTTTTTTTCTTTTAAACCAAGCACCGAGGTGAGGATTTCAGTGGAAGTGCATGTGCGTCATACTAAACTGGTACCATGTAAAATGCTTCTTTTTTTTTTCCCCATCGGCTTTACAGAGTTCCTTTAGTATTGGATTGTGTATGAGTGGAAGTGAAAGGAGAAAAAAAACAAAACGCCATATTTCTCTGACTATAGAGACATTTTGTCCAAGGAGTAAATAGTTTGGTCGCATGTGTAACTGTCACCTACACTCCCGATCAGATGGCTGTAAATAGAACTCTTTTAAACTATAAATTCGATTTTTATTTAATTATTTTGTTAACAAATTAGTCACAATAATCTTATATCTTATACAAGATTTTTAAATGTCTCAAAAAACTACAGTATGACGATATTAGAAAAAGATATGTTTTGTGTTCCCATATAACATACAGCATAAACAGTGTCTTTATCTTGCTTTTGATGTGTACAGGAGTCAGTTGTCCTCAGTTTTGTTGTATGGCTACAGGCAGCCATGTGTAAAGTGATATAAATTAACGAACGACCTCCTGCATCATTAATGTGAGATCTAAGCATTGGTTAACCTACTTCAGATACAGTTAACTGTGCGTCAAGCTAGGTTCATTTCATTACAACAGAATGATTGTGTAAAAAATATGATGAATCATGGACGGTTATATCTGCAGGAAAAACATTTTCCATTGCTTCTAAGAACTTAAAAGCGTTTTAGTGCAAAGTCATTGCAGTGTCCTGTACGCCGTGTAACGTTGACGCACATAAAACAGATATTGTAAAATCAACTACTGCTCTGCTGAAACAATTTTAGTTCTAATTTTCTCACTGACCGATCTTTGACTTTGTGTAATTTGTATAAAGTTATACATTTCTTTATTTAATTTTTTATGATTTATATTCACATATATATATATAAAAGATTTTCTAAAATGTAAGTAAAACAAAAAAATTATAATATGTCACTTCTAATGATGCAACTCTCTTGTTTCCAAAGGTAATAAAAAGAAGATCCGCTTGTACCAGTTTCTGTTGGACCTTTTAAGGAACGGCGACATGAAGGACAGTATCTGGTGGGTGGACAGAGATAAAGGGACATTCCAGTTTTCTTCCAAACACAAGGAGGCTCTCGCACACCGCTGGGGAATCCAGAAGGGAAACCGCAAGAAAATGACCTACCAGAAGATGGCTCGTGCTCTGCGCAACTATGGCAAAACCGGAGAGGTGAAAAAGATCAAAAAGAAGCTGACGTACCAGTTTAGTGATGAGGTGCTGGGCAAGAGTCATCTAGACAGAAAAGCATACATATAGGCAGGAGGAATGCTCAAATACTAGCACTGAATAATGAAAAGTATAGATTTAATCAGTCTTCCTGATGAGTACTGCTGCACAGTGTGACCGAGTCTTTGAAGGTACTAGTAAATGCAGCATAAAGCTATGGACCACAATCTTCCTTCTAAGACATGCTGGGGGACCGTTTAATAAGTACAGAAGAATCACCATAGAAAGCTCAGTTTGGCTTGTCTGTCTGAAATATTTGGAAGACAAAATATTCCAAATGATCACAATGAAAATAAAGTCAGTGCCAAACACGTTACATTATGTGTAACACGCTGTTTGTAAATGTGTATAGAGATTTGTGAATGAGTACTTTTGAAAAGCTGTTATTGCTGGTGTTCCTTGTTGAGGTGGCCAGAGTTGGAAGTAAAAGTCATGTGATACCATGATTTAGAGAGACCTTTGATACACACACCTAACAGACAAAGTCGATATCAGGAACTAGAAAGAATTCCTGATTACAACTACCCTTGGGCCATTTTAGTCAAAATAGCTTTAAAGTGTGCAGTTTATTACCGATTAAAGTTTATTTCAAGCTTAAAGTAATACAGTTTAATGACTTTAGCTCAGTCTCTCAAAAACCGCAGGCAAGTCTTGTCTGACACCTAACTCTTGTGAATGAAATACAGACAAACAACATGTACAAAACAACCATAAATTTGAACTTCACCTCTGAAACCACAAAACCACTACCAGCCACAGGGAACAATCATCTACGATCATCAAACTCTACAACATCATTTTCAAACACATTCATAAATCTTTGTTCTAAATTTTTCTTGTAGAATTTCTTTTTTGTCATTTTGGTTTATTGTGTCTTTTTGATAGAAAGTATAATAGTTTTCCTGTGTACGCAACAGAAATATGAAAAAAAAAAATACATAGTTTTTACATTAAGACTTTAAATCCATGGGTAACATGGGTAATTGACTGCTTCTTTTCAAACGTACCAAAGTCAGTCAGATGAACTTAATGATAAACATTGCTTTTCTGAAATGTAAAAGCAAGCTGGGATTATTGTTTTTCAGGTATTTGGAATCTGGAGCAATGTGTTCCAGCAGGTTACATCTGCTTTTGTTTTGTAGCTTCATATTAAATGTACAAGCAGCAGCTGTATGACTCTTTTCTTCGAACTCCTGGTATGAGAGGGATTTGACTTGTTCGCTGCCTGTTTAAAAGCATTAAGGAAAAGAAACAGAGCCCTCTCTTGGGTGGGGTGGATGTAGGCATGTTGACATCCCCTATGCAGTTTTAAGTGGGGGTGCACACATACATGGTAGACGTTTATATTCTGTTTGGAAACATCTGATATATTTTCAAAACTAAATTCTGCTTCATGTCATTCAACCACAGCAATGACATTCAACTTCTTTGTCATGTTGAACATGTACAAGTTCTCTTGTAATGTTTTTACTACTGTTTGTATATATTTAAACTGGATTTTTTTAAAAATATATTTAAAACAGAATATTAGGTTTCATATCATGGTTTAGAAGACCGTATATGAAACGCTGTATGTTACAATTACAAATCGCATGTACAAAGTTAATAAATTGTCTGTCACCTTATCTGTATTGTGCTTCTTGCAAAGATAATTGTGATGTGATTTGGGCAAACACTGGAGATAAAACACAAAGAAGAAGAAACGCAAAGTCTATATAAAGTTGAATTGTGTTAGACACACAGATTAAGTGACATCTCTCATTACAACTGAAAAGATAATCGTCCAACTATGAGGAACTATGAGGTTAATATGGGGCTGGGGAGGTGAAGTCACTTGTCACCAAGTACTTATATCTGCCTGTGTGTACTGACACACCGCAGCCACCAGTTCCCCTGTTCATAGAGGGTATAAAGAACCCACTATGTTGAAAGTTACACAACTACAATTTTTATGTTATATCACTGAGTGGGAAATGCAGTCCTGTTCATTTGTTCTCTATTTGTTTTTCATTTTCTAGAATAAAACAATTTTTAGCAAACTGTCTAAAGAAGACCTACGAAATGCTCACTGACTTCTCCGTTTCCACACACATCCTTTTTTAACTGAGAAAATAGGAACTAAATTTATTTATCATGTCAGAATCAAGTATGTCAAAGGCAAATTTTGTCATAGATAGATGCTCCTGTATGTGAAATATTAACATATGTAATGTATTACTGAAGGTAGCAGATTTAAATATGTATAATGTGTGAAATTTGATATTTAGAAACTGTGTTTTATGGCATATTGTATTGACCTTGTACTGTTGAAGCTTCATCGTGGGCCAGAAAAAAACATTTTGAGAGTTATTTTTCATTTAAAGTGCTCAGCATCTGTGTGTTGGTCTCACAGTTGCCTTCTAGTTACGATGGCCACGAGTCTTTGGCTTTATGGGAGTAGCCAAACTGCAACATTTACTACTGTTATCTGCAATATGTAAATATAAAGTTACCACAGCACCTGGTGTCTCAAGAGCCAACAGCTCCCCACAATGGCTGAGCTATAATTAATATCAATAACAAGCAGGCGTTAAAATGTCCTTCAGTCAAATACAGTAATTTAGAGCTCATGCAAGAGAAAGAGAACTGTGTACATGAGATGCATAAAAGCACCAGATTAGAGTATAGTATAGTACAATATAGTTAGTGTAATATAGTATAAACCTTTTGTAGACACAAATCCCTTTGGGGTGCATCAGGAAGGGCATCTGGTGTGAAAACGTTGCCAAATCAAACATGCAGAGCTACATGATGTGGCAACCCTTGTGAATAAGTGATGGTAGCTTTAGTATAGCATAGACAAAAAAGAGAGGGTCTGTTAGGAGGTAACAAGAGAGAACGAAAGGCAGAAGTGTGGAGTAACATTTAATTTCAGGTCTGTGGCTGTCAAAGAGAGAGCTGGCTGATTCACAAAATCATGGGTTTGAGGCATGCCACACAGGCTGGATGTCAGTAAGAAGAGAAAGAGGACTTCTGAAGCTGGATGAAGCGGTAGAGAGTGTCCCCGGGGGGAGAGAGTGGTGATTGGAGCAGACTCCAAAGTTCATGAAAGTGAAGATAACAGAAAGGATTAGGAAGTGTTAGGTTTGTATGATACTGAAGAGAGAAATGCAGAACGATAGATAGTAGTGGATTTTGTGAAAAGGATGGAAAAGGCTGTGGTGAAAAGTCTAAGGAGCTTGGAAAGCTTGGTGAAAATGTGCTTCAAGAAGAGGAGGAGCATGGGGTAACATATAAGAATGGAGGTGAAAAGAACAAGTACATGAAACTATTCAAAGGAGGATGTTAGCAAAGAAAAAGTGAGATAATCTGAGACACGAGCACAGGGAGGGTATAGATACGGCAAAAACTGAGTTGAAAAGGAAAAGGCTAATTGTGAGTTGTATGTAAGGCTGAACACTAAAGAAGAAGAAGATTAGAGAGGAAGTGTGCTGATGCCAGTTTTCAAGATGATGTACAGAACTGTAGTAACTGCACAGGGATAAAGTTGAAGAGCCATATCATAAAGATGTAGGAAAGAGTTAGTTTAAGAAGAGAGATGATGATCAGTGAGCAGCAGCATGGCTTAATGCTGAGAAAGAGAAGTATAGATGTGATGTTTACTTTGAGAGTGTTGATGAAGAAGTATAGAAATGGTCAGACGGAGCATCACTGAATGAATCTGCAGAAAGCATGCAGTAGGAAAGAGTAAGCGAGTGGCAAGAGAGGAACTGTAGTACTGCATGAGGAAGTCAGGGGTGGCAGAAAAGTATGTGAGGGTGGTGCAGGGCACCATGGGGATAGTGAGTCAGTAGTGAGGTGTGTAGTAAGAGTGACAGATGGGTTCAAGGTGTGGGTGGAGTTACATTACTGAACTATGATGTTTGCAGTTGAGATTTTGATCTGTAGTGGGAGTAGGGTGTAGGTGGAAGAGAACCTGGGCAGGTGGAGGTATGCTGTGGAGAAAAGAGGAATGAATGTTTGTAGAAGCAGGACAGGGAGAAAGGTGTAACAGCAACGTTTCGAGGGGTAGAATTATGGTATGATGTATGTGGCATTAACAAAAAGGAGGCAGAGCTGAAGATTTTCATTGAGAGTGACGGGAACAGACAGGATTAGAAATAAGTACATCAGAGGGACAGTTCAGGGTGAGCAGTTTAGAGATGAAGTTAAAGAGACAAGGCTTTGATGGAGGGATAGTGAATATATTCAACACGGCATGTTGAAGATGGAGCTGAAAAGAGGAAGAACACAGTGAAGATTCATGGGTGTAGTTAAGGAGGAAGATGCTAGAGAGTGAAATTGAGGCAGATGATCCACCTTGGTGGCCCCTAAAGGGATCAAGCAACTTTGTATTTGCTCGACAACCTCATGGCTCAGTTGCTGCCAAAAACAACAAGATTGCTATGCATGTGTGTCCAAGACACAGACCAGTTAAAGACCTTGTCCATTAAAAAAAACAAACAAACTAGAGTTTGTCTATCTATTTGTAGTTTTAACTCTTAGACATACAGGCTAACAGGAGGCAGAACAGATGTGGGGAGAGCAGACTTTTTTTGGAATCAAAGTGCTAAATATAAACTGCTGCATTACATCTCTTCCCCTCCCTCTCAAGGCCTATCATTCAGCCGAGGTGCTGGAGGAAGGGATGGTTGAAATATAGCCCTTGGTCAGACGTGACCGGTGACAGGCGGTGGGCTGGGAAGTGGGGGCTGGGTCACTGCTGGAATGGGCTGTAGGAGTGGAGTGGTGTCTGCGGACACTGGCTTAGGACTAGCAAAAATGGCACAAGAGGTGGGATGGTTCATGGAAGGAGGGGAGGCATTTTTGGAAAGAGGCCCACTATTAAAGGCAGGGGGTGTTGAGACAGACAGCAGACTGTTTGGGAGCAAAGAGTCACACAATTTGAAGAGAGGAGATTGATCAGGATGCCAGAGCCAGTCAAAAAACCAAGTAAGTGGACATATTCGACTACCTTAGCAAACAAAGATGGAGCAATTTATTTCTCATCTTATTTAATGTTCCTACTGTTTTGCCACATGCCTGCTTTGAGCAAACTAATCCATGAATCAAAAAGTTTGCCATACATATGAGTTCTCTTAATAACTGTAAACTTTTAGATAAACTCTTTATTGTGATATTACCACGTTCTACCTTAATATCTAGTCAGAAGAACAACAATATGGCAAGACGTGTAAAAAGTACATGTGAGAAAAAGCTGAGATGGGCCACACCCCTGTTAAGCAATGAACCACAACCAAACTGCCTGCCTAATACCTGCATATCATTTTCGTTATACACGGTGACACAGCCTTTGTTTTTTGTTCATAGTGTTTTTATATGAAAAGTTTTCTAAACAGACTTAAAACATCAATTTAAATATAAAGCTTATTTATGCCCATGCAATGACTGTAACCTGTGTAACTGAGAAATGACATTTGGAAAACATAAAGAAAATGTAGCTCTTCCTTTTCATGATTATTAAATGAAAGGTAGTTCAATATGTTCACTTTGTACAGCTTAAAGATGCGTAATGCAGTTGACCAGGTAAAGTAGCAGTATTCTTCTTCTATCCCCTCAAATTTAAATATATTCCATGGCTTATTAAGGTGCCACAAGTGCCTTTATTAAAATGCTTTATCAGCCATCATGTAGCCAGGAGCGAAGAATCAGAACCCACTACATTCGTGTGCATGCAGTTGTTGTTTCTCATCAGAAAACACTTTGAACTTGAAGCCCTTTTTGGTCACGTCAGTAGCTCACTTACACATCTCGCGGCGCAGGTGGAAACATCATCTGATGTGAAATCGACACTGTCACATTTCCAGCATCACTGCATTCACAAAACGATTCACTGATCCAAAAATGCCCCGCAGGATTCCAACTTGACAAATGACTTTCCACAGTTTTCTTTGCGCTCTTGAGTGGGAAATGAATGGCCGTTTGAGGAGCGAGAAGCCTGACATGTCACATATCCGATGACAAAGAGTGCAGCCCAAATGGCCAAGCTTGTGTGCGTGTGTGTGTGTTAAGACCTTTAGTGTCAAGGATTTGTTCAGGACAAATTGTCTTGAGCCCATAACATTACTGACAATTACTATCAGTACAGTGCGGTCGGTAAGATTGTTTTCAGTCAAACATTTAAAGACAAGAATAAATACAGCAACAACATGAAGAAAAGCTGTAATAATATATAAATGAACACATTTGGCTGCAGGAGGTGCATTCAGCTCAATCCTAATCACTCGTTAATGTGATTGAATTAAACAGAGATTAAACTGTAAATGCCAACATTTAACCCGGTCCTCGTGAGATTCAGCTGAAATAATTTGCTAAACATATCCAAAAATAAGGTGAAATTAGGTTTAAAAGACCACTAATCAGCTTTACAATTACTAAAATTCTCTAAAAATAAAACTCAAGGGAGTCTATTTGACCTTAAAGCCAGACAGCAGTATGAAAATTAGAACAGTACAGATGATTGACAACATGACAAGAAGGGCACATTATTCTTCCTCTCCCTTTAAAGTCACAAAAATAGCATCCAGCTAATCCCTCAACTATGATACCTGCAACCCCTGTTGCAGCTTAAGCCTGCCAGCCTCAT